CTTTGTCCACTAGGAATTTATGACCTAAGATGTACAGTACAAAAGGAAGGAAAGAAGAAAGCAAGCATTTATAAGAATTCACTCCACTATTTGCCAGACACTGTGCTAAGTGCTCACAAATACTATCTCATTTGATCTTCACAACAACCCTGGGAGAGGTAGGTGCTGTTATTATGCCCATTTTACAGTTGAGGAAAATGAGGCAGAGACAGGTTAAATGACTTGTGCAGGATCACACAGCTAGCAAGTATCAGAGGTCAGATTTGAACTCATATCTTCCTGACTCCAGGCCCTGTGGGGTATCCTCTAGGACAACTAGCTATCTCAGAGAATCACAGAACATCAGAGCCTGATGAGATCACAGAGCTCATTTACTCTGATCTCCATATTTTATATCCTACTATTCTACTGAAGTTATTATCGCAGTTTTTTTTGCTGATTCTCTTGAGTTTTCATCATGACATTTACAAATTGGGTATCATTTTTTCTTCTCTTTGTCATTGTTTACATATTTACTTTTTTCCCTTGTTTTGTTATTGCAATAGCAATTTCTGGCATTCTATCATATAATAGTGAGGAGAGGGTCCATCTGTGCTTTACTGTTATATTTATTGGGAAAGTTCATTGTCTTGTGTCTCCTCATTGCAAGTAATATGTGTGTATGTATACATATATACATGTATGCGTATATAAACATGTGTACATAAATATTGTGTTTATTAAATGTATATATACATATCTAATATGAACTATATTAAATGTACATTTTATCATGTTAAATGAAACATATTTTATCATATTACAATGACTCATATACCTATGGGGGGTGTTAGTGTGTGGGGTTTGTTTGTTTTTTATTTGTTTTTGCAACCCTCTCATTTTAAAGAGGAGAAAAATGAGTGTTATGTAGAATGACTTTCCTCAGGCAACACAGTACATTAGTAGTAGAGTTCTGACTCAAACCCAAGTCATCTGTTTCTAAGTCCAATGTAGGTTTTAGTCCTTTATAAGGAAAACAAAATTATAAACAGAGCTGCCCCAAAGTAGAGTGTACTGACTTAGAATGGAGTATGTTGCCCATTATGAGAAGTCTTCAAGGAGAGGCTGGATTGGAAATACAATGGGTCATCCTTTTAAGGCAGGGATTATATGATTCTTTAAACTGGGTTTGTGTCAGTCTGGGACACAGAGAGTAAAGTCATAGGGGAAGAGTGCCTCTAATCAACTTTTAAAAACTATTCTTAAGCATCAAAATCAGACTTAAGAGAGGAAAGTAACTGGGGCATTTCTTTTCAGTGTATTAAGATAAACTGTTAAATTCATTGTCCAGGGGTCAGATGGTTGGTGGAGGTGCAGAAGGAAAGGCATAGTGGACACCCAGGAGGCAAGTAGGAGGTCATTAGAAACCTGTGGAGGAACCAGAGCTGCATCAACTGGGAGTGCATGGAGGAGGATGTGGCTAGGAGAAACTTCTGTGAACTACAGCTATGGCTCAAGGGAAAATGCCACAGCTTTAGAGTCAGAAGACCTGAAATTAAGTGTGGATTCTTTAGGCACGTTAGTGCCTGGTGCCTCATTTTATTTATCAATAAAATGGTGAGAGAAATTAATATTACACTATTATATTAATAACTAATGGTTAATTTGTGATTCGCCCTTTTCTTTCTACTTTTAAGATTCTACTCCTGAAAAGGTCAGATAGTCTCTGAAGGGTGTAACTGTGTAAGGCAATCTCCTCCCAGCCCCAGGGCATCTCTCTGGCAGGGATCCTTCCTTTTTGTTTACTCTTTAAACGAAAGGCAAGCTTGGCTAAATCTTTTCCCCAGGATCACATCTCCTTGTCCAGGATTACCTCCATTAAAGTTTGGGACAATCCAGCTCATAAAGGAAAAACCAGATAGAGATGTCTGGATGCTGCCCAGTTTGCTGGAGGCAGCTGAGTCTCAAGATCAAACCTCATTCTCATCAGAAAGAGCTGAGAACCTTTAGCCCACCTCCTCATTAAATGTCCACCAATCAGGGTTGAGTTTCATTTGAAAGGAGAGTTTCCTGTCAGAAGGTGTATACACCTGATTGAAGGTGTTTCAGAGTCTCCCTTGGATTCTTTGGTTACCAAGAGAAACTGCTGACCATTAATTTATTGATTATTGGCTAGCCTAATTAATGAATTGATTAATAATACCTGGAAACCTTGTTTTATTCACAACAATGGAGATAATGACATTTACTCTCATGACTTCGGGGAGGTGTTGCAACAGTCAAATGAGATTACTTATTCATTGGGCAAATCACAGAATCTATTCTGTCCCATGTAAAACAGGGCAATAATTGATGCACTGTTGTTATCAATTGTGTCTGACTCTTCTTGACCCTATTTGGGGCTTTCTTGGCAAAGATGCTAAAATGATTTGCCATTTCTTTCTCCAGTTCGTTTTAAAGAAGAGTAAAGTGAAGCAAACAGGGTAAGGTGACTTGCCCAGGGTCACACAGCTAGCTAGTTAAGTATCTGAGGCTAGATTTGAACTTAGGTCTTCCTGACTCCAGGCCTGCCACGCTATACATGGCACCACCTAACTGCCTACCTCTTAAAGAGCTATTTTGAGACTCAAATATGATTATGCTAGTGGAGTGTTTTTATTACAAAATTTTGTCAGAGGTCAGTTCTGCCTATGCTAAGCTTTTTCACATGTAGTCTGCTTTTCTTCCCTTCCTCCAGATTCTCTCACAGGAATATTATTAGTGATAATTGTCATTCACATGGTGCTTTAAGGTTTGTAAAAGTCTCTGTATGTATCTAAGTGTTAGGATGTTCCTGTGATGTAGGTACTGCATATATTATGAACCACATTTTACAATTGAGAAAACTGAGGCTCAAGGTAAGTGACTTTCCCATGATCACACAAATCAATCAGAAAGAATTAATGAAGCACTCACTATTTAACAGGCACTGTGCTAAGCATTGGAGATATTAAAAAAAAAAAAAAAAAAAGGCAAAGATCTCTCTGCCCCGGGAGTTTTACACTCTAAAGGGAGGGACAGTATGTCTGTACAAGATATGTACAAAGGAATGTAGAGGTAATCTCAGAGAAAACCAGGCAGCCAGGAAGAACCTCCTACAGAATGAGAGATTTGAAGTGAGTCTTGAAAAAAGCAGGAGAAACTGAAAGGAAGAGGTGAGGAAGGAGAACGTCGCAGGCATGGAGGAGAGCCAGTGGAAAGGGTATGTGTTCAGCAATAACAGTGGCGAGCCAGCCAATGTCAGTGGATCCTAGAGTTTATATAGGGTAGCAAAGTTTAAGAAAACTCAGAGGAGAGAAAAAAGCCAAGTTGTAGAAAGCTTTAAATGCCAAACTTTGCAAAAAGCTGATAATAAGTGTTGAAATCAGGAATCAAGCCCAGGTCTTCCTGGCTCCAAGTCCAGCACTCTCTGTACCATGCCCACACCACCTCTAATGAGTTACTCACTAATGCTTGGAATTTCCTTTTAACTGGACAACCTCAAGCATTAGCTGCTCCCCTGTTCACGGCCCTTCCCTTTCCCTCACAATATGAAGAACAACTCCCATTTGTACTACACTTTCAGGTCTACAAAACCCCTTCCTCATTTTGGTGTTGTTTAGTTGTGTCCAACTCTTTGTGACCTCATGTGGGGTTTTCTTGGCAAAGATCCTGGAGTGGTTTTGCCACTTCCTTCTTCAGCTCATTTTACAGATGGAGAAACTGAGGTAAAACAGGGTTAAGTGATTTGCCCAATGTCACACACCTAGTAAGTATCTGAGGTTGGATTGGAACTCAAGAAGATGAGTCTTCCTGACTTCAAGCCCAGAACTCTTTCTACTACTCCACTCAGCTGCCCTCCCCTTCCTCATGGTAATCCTATAAGGTAACTGGTGCAAAGATTTGTCATCCCCATTATATATGATTATATATGTTTTATTATATATTATATATCATTATATATTATATTCCCACTATATATCCCCATATATAGATGAGGGAAATGAGGCTTATAGCAAAGTAACAGAGTTACTAAGGTTTGTATAACTATGCCTCCTGACTCCACACCTGGCCCTCTTTCTAGAGTTTCTCACTGCCTCTCAGAAAGCTGCCAAATTCTTTCCCACCTCCTCCCACCCTCAGCACTCCCAGAGGTGTATAATTGCTGTCATCAGCCTGTTATTAAGCCCCTAAATCTCCACCTCTCTCCCCTTCTTTTATTTGGAAGAACACACGGCTTCATGATTGTCCTTGCTGATAACCATCTGCTATTGGAGATGTCTTGGTTGGGTTGGAGTGAGGTGGAAGCTAAAAGGGGAAATTGATGTACATTGGGATGACAGAACTATGAGCTCTTGGAAGCTGGAATTTGGGCTGTGGCCACAGGTGAAGTCTTTCTTATCATTTGACAGAATGAAAAGGAAGAGCTTAAAAAAAAATAGGCATTATCTAGTTAGTGGTTGTTAGTTAAGAAACGATCCCAAGGAAACCTGCTTCTCTTTCTGCTCTAATAAATAATTTCTTAAAAGACCATTTCAGAGTGTGCTTGTGGATATTTAAAGCCCCTTGTACTGCATTGGATGGGTTTGGATTGGCCAGACAGGATGAGGAGTTGAGAGGTGAAAACTATGTAAGAGGCTCTTGTGAACAGAGATCCAAGAAAGCCGTTCTAAAGACCTCCAGGCCCTTCTGTCTAGATTCTTGCTTGTCTTGGAGGTACTTCTTTGTGGAAGGAGCTACCAGCTACAGGAGGTTCAGCTTGATGGCTTAAAAAGAGCTCTGAAATTGTATTCAGAGGACCAGCTCTGACAATAATTAGCTAAGTCCTAGGTCCTAAGCCTCCGTTTCCCCATCTGCAAAATGAGGGAGTTGGTCTAGTTTGGGGGGGTCAACCTGGGGTCTATAATTTTTATAATGTAATAATCCATTTCTACATAATTGGTTCCTTTTGTAATCCTATGCATTTTTAAAATAAATGTTAAAATATTCTAAGGAGAACCTACCCGACAGTGTCCATGACACATGATGAAGATGAAGAATCGTGTACTGGAGAAGCTTGCCCCCTCCTCCTACCTCTGGCTTTCTGTGTGCCTCTGTAGCAGCTGTGTCTGAACGGACCCTACTCCCAAATAAGCCTCGGCATTCCCCTGACCGATCTTCAGCTGTCAAGGAAGTGGGAGCGTGAGCCTTTAGCTTTCTTTTCCTTTCATTCTCTGCCCCCAGATAACAATCAAAGTTTCAGAGCTGGAAGGGACGTCAGAAATCACCCGGTCCAACCAAAACTGAGTAGGGAATCCTGCCTTCAGTGTCTTGTTGAAAGTACCCCTCCCTTCAGCAGCTTATAATGCTCATAATATTACGTTTTGAGGAGTACGCTCCTCTCAACAAACATGCGAGGTCGTGATCGAAGAGCTCGCTGTGTCCGTTTGACAGATGACCAAAGTGAGGCTCAGAGAGGTCGTGACTTGTCCCCAGGCACCCTTTCTATTGGTTTCAAACCCAAATCTTTTGATTATGAGCGCTTATGCCTGACACACAATAGGCACTTAATAAAGGCTTATTGATTATTGATTAAGATGATAGGTCCTTTCCACTATACCGTGCTATCTCTAACATACTAAATCCATTCCTCAATCATAGACTTCCTCTTTTTAAACAGCCCTCAAAGTGTACCTAGTCTACCCTTAACCTTGAAGACATACTCACAATGGCACTTATCCCACACACTCCAGGGGATTATATATTGGTACTTCATTCAAATAAACATTAGTTGAGTGTTGACTCCCTGTTTAGTACTGTGGGTAATATTTTGTCTTCCTTCCCCTCTTGGGTCTGTGTCTTGGCTGACACACGCCTTGGGCTCCCCTCCCCTCCCATGTGGAATACATTCTCCTCTCTGCACATCTACACACATTGAAATCTCACATTTCTTTTTTGTTCTTGTTGTTTGTCTTTGTTTTTCTGGTTTTGGGGGGGGGGGTTTTGGTTGGGCAGTGGGGGTTAAGTGACTTGCCCAGGGTCACACAGCTAGTAAGTGTTATGTGTCTGAGGCTGGATTTGAACTCAGGTCCTCCTGACTCCAGGGCTGGTGCTCTATCCACTGCACTACCTAGCTGCCCCCCACGTTTCTTTCAAGAACAAACTGGGGTGATACCTACTCAGGATATACCTCCATCACTGGTAAAAAAAATATTGCCTTTCTTCATAGAGTCCCCATGACATTTTGCCTGTAAACCCTTTTCCTCCTATTCTAATTACTCTGGTACATAATAATACTAGCTAGCATTCATATAGCAATTTAACATTTTCAAAGCATTTTACATATATTATTTCATTTGGTCAACACAACAGCCTTGTAATGTGGGTGTTGTTATTATTATTGTCCCCATTTTATAGAAAGGGAAGAAGTTAAGTGACTTGCCCAGGATTATATAGCTTGTAAGAGTCTGAGGTAGGATTTGAACTCAGGTCTTCCTGAATCCAAGTACAGTATTCTATCCACTGAGTCATTTAGCTGCTTATTAATTATATTAAGTTGTAAGTTCCTTGAGAATAGAATCTCTATTTTTGTATCCCTCAGGCCAAAAAAGGGCTTGTTGTTGTTGAGTCATGTCTGACCCTTCCTGACCCCGTGGACTACTGTCCATGGGATTTTCTTGGCAAAGATACTGTTGTGGTTTGACTTTTCCTTCTCCATTGGATAAAGGGAAATAGAAGTTAAGTGACTTGTCCAAGGTCACACAGCTGGTAAATATCTAAGGCCAAATTTGCATTCAGGTCTTCCTAACTCCAAGCCCAGCACTCTATCTACTGAGCCATCTAGCTGCCCCATAGGGCCTATAGTAGGAATTTAATATGTTTTTGTTGAGTTGAATTATCTTGTTGAATTAGAAGCCCCCCTGGACTGGGTGTTAGGAGACATTTGTACCAGTCCTAGTTGCATGAATAACTAGGTTATGTGACCTTGGGCACACTTGACTCTCTGGACCCCAGTTTCCCTCATCCAGGGTCTAGCAGAATGCATTGCAAAGACATGATGCAGAATAAACATTTATTGCATTGAATTAAATGTGTAAAATAAGAGAGTTTCTAAAGCCCTTTCCCAATCTCACATCTTTTAAATTAATTCTGTAAATATGAGAAACACACTTTCAAGCTACTTTAGCTCTGAAGTGTGTTTCTCATATTTACAGAATTAATTTAAAAGCAGTGTCATGGAGGCTTTCTGCAAGAGCCTTTGTTCTAATGGGGTAAACTCATACCCTTTTAGCCTGGAACTGAAAAGGGCCTTTAGAGGAGGCAGGTAGCTCCATGCAAGGCAAAGAAAAAGATGCAAGAGCCCAGTGGAATGAATTCTTTCCTGGAAGCACCGGGGTAGAACCATCGCGGGATCTAGGTTCAAATCCAGCCTCTGCTACTTACCACCTATGTGACCTTAGGCAAGTCACTTAACCTTATGGTCCTTAGTTTTACAAAATGAGATTAGTAGGGTGAGATGACTTTCTAAGCCTTCTTTAGGCTCCGGATGTGTGATCCTATGACCTAATTCCTGACTAACCTATACCTGAAGGAAGACTTTCTCCTATGACATTCAACATTCCACTTCAACACTCTTAATTGCAGAGAACTCACTACCTTGTTAACAATTGCAATGAAAGTAAGTTTGGGTTGGTTTTTTCCTTATAGTGAGTCAAAAAAAATTGCCTTCTGGTCACTCCCACACCTGGATCATTGCTCCTAGTTTTGCCCAGTGGGGTCAAGAAAAAGAAATTTTCTGTTTCTATTTGGTAGCCCTTCAGAGCAAAATAGCTCTCATGTTCCCCCTAGGTATCCTGTTCCACAAATGAAATATTAACGAAAAATTAAATTATGCTCAGTAAAATTGTATTTTAAGTATTTTCTTACTCTTTGAAAATCAGTGATCCATGCATGGTCTGCGTGGTAATTGTCAATTAACTAGAACATTCAATTGACCAGAATATTGTATTCCCACACTATTTTCTGTGAACATGAATTTATGCACATCTCACTTGTTTGTACATAAATGGGTGCCTCTAAAGTACTTTTCTGTGCTTAGTAAACCATATCTTTTAGAATGGACCTCAGCAATGGATAGTAGAAAGAACAATAGGTTTAGAATCAGTAAATTTGAGTTTTAATTCTCATTCTGCCACTAACTAGATCTATGACTTTGAACAGAGTACTTCATGTCCCTGGTTCTCAGTTTCCACCTATCTAAAGTGGAGAGACTAGATGTGTTGGTTTTTATGTGTCCTTTAAACTCTAAAACTCTCTTCTTTGGAACTTCAGCCCATTTTCACCCTCCATTCCACCTGATATGATCGCAAATTTTTGATGAGCCCAGATTAGAGCATTACTATATTTAATCTGGGTTTATTCAAAAGGGTATAATTTACTTCATTTATAAAATGAGTGAGTTAGACTAAATCAGGAGTTCTTAGGTCCACAGATAGATTTCACGAAGTCTGTGACCTTGGAAAGCAAAAATAAATAAATAATTTATTTATTTTCACTTACCTCTAACTGAAATCAAGCATTGTCTTTAGTTATTTAAAAACAATATTCTGAGATGGCTTCACCAGACTGTGAAAGGGGCCCATTGTGTACGTACAAAAAGGTTAAGAACACCAGGACTAGAGAATTTCTAAAGTTCCTTCCATCTCTAACATTCTGTGGTCTGTAATCTATCATTCTGTTGTCTAACAGCCCTTCCAGTTCTTGTATCCTGTTCTCTATGCTCTGACATTCTGTGTTCCAAGATGCCTTTCAGTTCTGACAGTCAGTGTTCCACATGTCCTTCTAGTGTTAGTAATCCATCTCTGACAGCCCCTTCTAGCTCTGACATTCAACGTTCCAAGGTGCCTTCCGACTCTGACACTCTCTAGCCTTTTTTCAAATGCCCTATTCCAGCTCTAACTTAACCACAGACCTGACTGAGCTACTCTGAGAGCTTCAGGCTTTCACTGAACACTCTCAGGCCCCCAAAGTGAGCATAAATGGTATTTCCATGTTCCAAAAACCTTTATTATAGTTCACCAAATTAAAATAAACATTTGGTTGAACTTGTACTAGTATGATCTCTGAAGTGCTTGGCACCTCTTCATGTTCAAAATGCTTTCAAAACAAAAGATGATTTCCCACAAGATTCCTATTTGGGTGTTGTAAATGACATGCGTATTTGCACATGGTATTATAAATTTGGGAGCCAAGATGCCCCCAAGCCAACTTTAGAAATAATAACTCACATTTATACAGCACTTTATGTTTTACAAAGGGATTTACACACATAATCTCACTTGATCCTCAAAATAGCCCTGTGAGGTAGGCTGCACAAGTAATGTTATCCCCATTTTTACAGATTGGAAGATAGATGACTTGCCTCATCACACATCTATTGTGGGTTGAAGCCCAGATGTGAGCTGAGGTTTCTGATGTCAAGTCCTCTGTTCTTTCTATGGCACAGAACTCAATAAAAACAGAGTTTTTTCTCCCTCAGCCTTTCAGCACTTTCCTATTTCTGTTTTCCCAATTTGGGGAAGGTGGCTTCCTAATTTCATCTTGTCTCTAGTTAACTTCATTTTCCTAGACCCTAGGTAAGGTATTCTCAATTTTTTGTGGGTGTCATAGACCCCTTTGACAATCTAGTGGAGCCTAGGGACCCCTTCTCAGAATCATGTTTTTATGTAATTAAAAGGAAAGCTAAATTTCAGTTAGAGGTCAGTAAAAATTAAAATGTCTTTTTTTTTTTTAATCTAAGATCATGGACCCCCTGAAATCTAAATACAGATCACTTGAGTGGTCTCTGGGCTCCGAGTTAAGGACCACTGCTGTAGATGAATTACAGAATTTTTGAGCTAAAAAGAGCTATAGATTTCATCTAGTTTAGCCCCCTTAATTTTATGAACTCAGAAACTTGGAGGGCCTAGGATCACACAGCTAGTAAATGGAAAATCCAGGAAAAGAACCCAGGTCTTCTGATTTTCAGTCCAAGTCTCTTTCTTCTACGGTGTTCTCCTCTATAAAATAGATGTAAGTCAACAAGCATTTATTAAGCATTTAAAAATTAAGCAATGTGCTAAGCACCGTGGGTACCAATAAAGGCAATAAGAATTCCTGCCCTCAAGGAGCTCACTG